ATATATATATATATATATATATATATATATATATATATATATATATATATATATATATATATATATATATATATATATATATATATATATATATATATATATATATACAATGCAAGGCCTTTACATTTAGGACCAAAATAACTACAGTAAGGTCAATGTGTATTACAATAGAAAAAAAGGTTAGATTAGAAATTTTATCATATTTCAGATTTACCTTTGTCAAATCAATTCAGGGAGGCAAATAATTCCCTGCAGGTACTCCTGAATAGATGCATACTGTGCAAAGTACTGTTTGATACTGTGTGCAGATAATGTTAAGGACAACAGTGACACTTTTCTTTTTCTCGTGACTTGTAAGAAAAATATAATGTTATAACTTTATAGTATAAAGTTATGACACTTTGTTCAGGCTTGACATGGTAGTCTCATTTTGAAGAGTTCTGACTTCTGCTTAGACAATTTTTTTTTTAGGAACTCTGAAATTAAACATCTTGTATCCAGATTTTACTCCATGATATATCAGCGTAAAGCAAATGATCTGATCTCACTGCGTAAGGTATGGAGTAAGAATCTGAAATATGATATTTACAAAAATCTCTGGGAGGATATTATTAGACTGCCATTAAACATTTCAGTTTGTAACAGATTTAAAGAAATGCAATTTAATATAGTACAGTTTGTATGTATATATTTAAGTTTAGAGTTTATATACCACCAAATAAATACAGAAAGATAAACAGCTCTGTACCCCCCAGTGTTCTGTATTTTTTGGAATAATGTTTGTGAGAAATGATCTATTATATGCAAGCAGAAGGTCACAGCCTCACCACTAATGTATCTACAGGGAATATTACCCCTTTTGCTGTTGGAATTTTCAGATGTTATTAAAACCTTACTGATGCTGGGTTGAAAAGCAATTATGATCAAATGGGTTGGTGCTGAACCACCTTTAATCAAGGATTGGCTGATTTTGATTAAAGAAGTTATATGTCTGGAAAAACTGGGATATATGTATTAAAAGGTAAATCTGATTCATTCCATAAATTGTGGGCAAATCCCATAAAAGGTCTTGGTATAGATTGCAAGTTTACTGGGTACCCCCCGAATGATATTGTACTCACTGTGCATCACTGTAATTTATTATTACAGTTATTATAATCTGTTTGTATTCTCAATGCTGATTATTATGGAAAATAAATATATACTTTTTACACCAATAAACACGAGCTGTAAATGTGTGCCAGTGTAATCTGCAAACTGTACTTCTCGGTGGTAGAACTGTGTGATAATTTATTTTGTAGAATCTTTATATTTTTTCCACTTATATTTTCACAGTGTCTGCACTGAGAATTATTTTGTTGGGGAAAAGTCTCTCAGAGACCAGCAGAGTGGGAAACTTCATCCTGAGAAGAGAAGCATTTAAGACTGAAGATCCTCCACATTCAGCAGTGCAGCACAGTATCAGAGTGAACAGACGTGTGAAGAAAAGATACATCTCCATCATTAACACACCTCATCTCTTTCACTCGCGACTCTCCCATGAGGAGCTGAGTCAGAGAATAAAAGAGTGTATTTCACTTTGTGAACCTGGACCTCATGCATTTTTACTTGTGGTGCAGCCTCAAGACTTTACAGAAGAGGACAGAAAGCGACTGATATACATCTTGAACTCCTTCAGTGAGCGAGCCATAAAATACTGTATTTTGATCAGGACAGAGAAAACCCTTAAACCTTTACTTCAGAAGCAAGAGAATGATGCTTATCACAGATTAAGGAAGGAATTCAATGTGAGGTACATTTTGAAAGAGTTATTGCAGAATGAGGAGGAATCAGTTGATCAGCTCTTTGAGAAGATTGATAAAATTGTTAAAGAAAATGGAGGAGTTCATTTGACATGTGAAGTTTTTGAGAATGTAGAAGAAGAATCTCACAAATCTGCGAGAGAGAGAGGGAAGGAAACTCAAGACTTACCTGAAGACAGAAAAAAGAAGAGCATGTGGGGTATAATGGGAAGTGTTGTACAAAGAGGTAAGTTCTCATTCTAGTGTAAATGTGCATTATTTCATACAAATCCCCTTTACTTTTATATACAGCTATGGGAAGTACACCCTCTTACAATTCTATGATTTTATTTATCAGGACCTCAGTAACAATTGTGTGTTCCTCACCAACTTTTGTAAACAAACAAATAACCTCAGGTTAGGCGCTGATAACTAAAATCATAGAATTGAAGGAGGGCGTACTTTCTTTTTCTCATGACTGTAAGCACTGGCCTCAGAACACTGTATGTAATTTAATTAATTTTAATTAAAAAAAAAAAAGTCTTTACAGACAATACACTTATTCCATTTTTCCATTTGCATTTGTTTATTTCTTTATAGAAGATAATAAAGTATTGTTTAAAGTAATAAGTACAACTGCATTTTTTATGAAATTATTATTTTTTAATGAATATTGAATTAAAGGGATTTCAGCGCTGCAACCAACAGAGAGGAGCATCAAAGAACAGTCTACAAAGAGTAAGTATTTACTGTGCTGTGCTAAAATTTATAATTATATTAATCCCATACCACATAACATACAGAAGTATTAAAAATTACAATCCAGTATTTTAACCATTATTTCTATCAAGCTGTTCTCTCTGTCATCTTCTACACTGATCACTTTTGGTTGTGGTTACAGTTTGGAAAACAGAAAAGCACAGTAGTGGGGGGATTGAGCATATGACATACGTGATTTTTCAGATATTTATCTAGTGATTAGGCCACAGTGCTCTCACCACTGTGGCCTGGGTTCGATTCCCGGCCAGGGAACCAACTCCAGCCACTGGGGGTTGCATGTAACCGTATGCTCTCAGTGCCAGTCCCAAAACGGGGGAGGGTTGTGTCAGGAAGGGCATCCGGTGTAAAAACTGTGCCAAATCATAATGTGCAAATACACAACAGTGCGAAATGAGTGCAGGACAATAAATACACAGGACAATTTCACAGAACATGGGCTGTAAACTATTGGTAGGGTAGCAACAATAGGTGTATCTGTAGCAGCAATACATTTAGCATTGCATAAAGTGTCTGATGCGGCTTTGTAAGGTGCAGGTGTGCAGTGATACTGAGTCATACTGGGTCAGGTGTTTGACTAGCCCAGGTGAGTGTTGGGAGGCAGCAGGGTGTTGAGTAGTCTGACTGCCTCGGGGAAGAAACTGTTGCGGAGTCTGCTGGTGGTGGACAGATGCTCCTGTACCTTCTGCCAGATGGCAGGAGGGTGAAGTGTCCATGAGAGGGGTGATGGAGGTCCTCTTCAATACTGGTGGCTTTGCGGATGCAGCGGTGGTTGTGAGAGACACAGATGGCGGGTAGAGAGACTCTGATGATCTTTTCAGCTGTTCTCACAACACACTGCATGGTCTTGCTGTTGGAGACTGTGCAGTTCCCGTACCACACGATGCGACAGCTGATCAGGACACCCTCTATCATCCCTCTGTAGAAGGAAGTGAGGATGGGAGGGGGCAGTCTGGCTTTCTTCAGCCTCCATAGGAAGTAGAGGTGCTGCTGAGCCTTCTTGGCTAGGCAGGTGGTGTTGAGAGTCCAGGAGAGGACCTTCGCTATGTGCACACCAAGAAACAGGAGATACATGAGGATCCTTGTGTAGAACTTTTATTAAACCCAAAACTTGTGTGATATGAATTTTTGTCCCTGATTATGATTACACTTGGTGTAAAAATCATTGGCTTTAAATACACAGGAAAGCTAACATTTACACCATTTCAGGTTTAAAGAGATTAGAGGAATGTGTATTAATATCTTAGAGGAGTGTGTAATAATATCTTAGTCACCACCCAGCGGCTCAGCTGGATGGTGGCATTTTAAGTGATTCTGCATATTCTGCCTGTGAGGTATTGTGCATCTAAAGGCAATGTGCAAATTAATGTTTCATGTGAACATAAAATTGTACAGTATGTCCACTGTAAAGTGCACACTGCAGGATGTCATACATTCAGTGTGTCAATGTGTGTACGGGGAAAGATATAGGAGGAAATGGTAGAGAGTGGATGTTGTTAATGACATTCTGGGGGCGTAGTCCTGGGGCCCGTTCTTCATACGTCGCTTATTACATCCGAGATCAAAAGACACATCCGAGATATGATCCAGCTAATCATTATCTGGCTAATTAGGTTCTTCGAACACACCTGTTGTTGATGATTAGTATGGCTGGATTGAGTTATCTGAGATCATTGCGCGTTCATGCGCTGGTTTAAAAGGGGCTATGTATCGGTAGTAGAAACACTGATCAGCAACGCTGCTATTGGTTGCCTACAATGGCCAAAGAGCGTGGCCACTTTTTCTCAGCGACAGAACAAGAACTCTTAATGGAGAGCTATGGCGAGTCCCACAATTTAATGAAAACGTCAGGGAGCATCTCAAAGGCTGCAAAAGCCAGGAGAGAGGGTTGGCAAAAAGTTGCAAACAAATTAAATGCATAAGTAGTGATGGTGTTAATGTTTTTATCACTTATTACAGTATATATTATGTACTTTTCTTTTTTTTTTTTAATTTTCATAATTACTTTAATCTTTTATATTAGAGCCACCACAGGACCCACTAGAACTTGGGAACAAGTAAAGGTGAAATACAAGAATATTCTACAAAATGGTAATATTAACTACATATACTGTTCATGTACTGTATGTGTAGTGTTGTAGACATATACAAGTTCTCTGCATCTCCAATAGTGTAAAGGAAAGTGCCACTCGCAAACAATCTCAACGCGATACACAGTTTGTGCTGTTGTTAAAGCCCTACTCCGACGAGCCGAACTTCTAATATGAGGTTCCAACAAATTAATTATGTAAATGACACCCTCATGTGAAAAAAGATATCTTTCAAAAAGTGCACTATTGCGCTGTGCTAATGGATCCTGTCTGTCTCGCAAACCGCGATTAATTCTAAAAGCTCTGTGAATTATTCTCGCACCTTCCGTAACAGGTTGCTCTCGTAAAAACGGGCAGGACATGGCTGCAACAGACTTCCCGTATCACCTCCGCTTATAAAGCCGCGATCTAATCCTGTTTACATGAAATAAGCCTGCTCCCGAGCAGGTTTAAGCTTACCGACCCGTTGCTATGACAACAACTTCAGGATGAGCGTCGAAGAACCAAATAATCCAAGATCATGCCAAATCGTCAACAATCAAATCCAGCTAACTGAGTTAGCGACGTATGAAGAACGGGCCCCTGGAGTCTGGATGTTCTGGCTGTGATGTAAACAGTGAGCGGGGTCTCTGCTGATACTGTTAGGGCTTATACTTCCATGAACATGTCTTTGTGAGCATGTCAGGATGCCATGTGTGGACACTCTCACAGGTTGAAGTATTTATACTTGCAAGTAACATGAGTGTGTCCTGTAGGAGGCACTGTGACATGAACCATGCCAGAATTTACTGAATTACTGCACAGAAGAGTCAAAATCAATGCGAGTTCTGTGTTTCACTGTAGGAATAATACCCAGAAGATAATTCAATTCAATTCAATTTTATTTGTATAGCACTTTTAACAATGGACATTGTCACAAAGCAGCTTTACAGAAATAAATGGATTCACCAAAAAAAAGATATATAGAAAATATTTGAATTTATCACTGTGAATTTATCCCTAATGAGCGAGCCAGAGGCGACGGTGGCAAGGAAAAACTCCCTGAGATGACATGAGGAAGAAACCTTGAGAGGAACCAGGCTCAAAAGGGAACTCATCCTCATCTGGGTGCAACGGATAGTGCGATTATAAATAATTCTCTTCTATGATTATGTACTATATGGACAAATAGTGCAAATGTGCAACCAATAAATTCATCACAGTTTTTGCAAGAAGCCCGGTTGGTTAAAATCTATCCACTGTCCACTGATGGAGTCCTGAGTACGAAGCTGCTCGTGGCAACTGCAGCCCCAAAGCCACTACAGCAATCGCAGTCCCAAGCCATTACAGTACAGCTCCCCATATGTGATCCCCAAGCCACCACCACAGCCCCCAGGTGGCACCATCCCCAGCAATCCAAAAAGTTTTCCTATGAAAGTGTGAGCATAGCTGCTGTGCTACAACCTTTTCTAGGACCTTGGAGATAAAGGGGAGGTTTGATATTGGTCTATAGTTAGACAGCTGACACAGGTCAAGGTCAGGTTTTTTAATCAAGGGCTTGATAACTGCTAATTTAAATGATTTAGGTACATAGCCAAAGCTAAGGGAAGAATTGATTATCTTTAAAAGAGGTTTGATTGTTTCAGGAATTATCTGTTTGAGGAAACAAGTAGGTAAAGGATCTAGCATACAGGTTGATGATTTTGATGATGAAATTAGTGAAATTAGTTCAGCCTCTTAAAGGGGAGTAAAACATTGTAATTGTTCATCTGATATTATTATATTATCATCTAAAATAACACACATATAAGTTTGTTTTGTAAAGTGCTGAGAAAAGAAACCTAGTGTGATTAATTATAAACTGAATGAATTCTGACTGATCATTTTATCCTTAAAAGAAATTCACTCCTCAAGATAAGCTCTGATTGTCTCTGATTAAGATGCATCTCCTCTGTCCCCGTGTAGAAAAAAACTTTTGTGGACTTTGTGATATGTGAGGAGGGGTTATTGAGATTTGTCCAGTAGGGGGCGGTAATGCATTGTGTATGGGTTGGATAGTTATAAAAGGCTGTGAAGAAGAACAGTGCCTGCGCACCATTGTCCTGTACTGTCTGCCTGCTGAGATGGGTCCTCAATAAAGTGACCACAAAGAATTATGGTTTCCCTTCTGTGAGTTTCTGCACTACAATATTACATATGGCGACGAGGATAAAAGAAGATAAATAAGTATGAATAACGAAGCAGCTATTTTCTAGAAGCAAGTAAAAAGCAGGACGCCGACGCCGGTAAGCTCAGCTGATTGAGATTAATGACTGCCGCGGGTGGTGACTGATTGAAAGGAATGATGGCTGGAGTGGTCGGATCTGTAGCACCTTTTGATAGTGGATCACAATCATGGGAAGAGTATTGTGAAATACTGAATCATTTCTTCGTGGCAAATGATGTAGAAACTCCAGAGAAGAAACGAGCCATATTGTTGAGTTGTGTTGGAGCACAGACATACACATTGATGAGGAATTTGTTGAGTGCAGAGAAACCAGGTGTAAAGAGTTTTGCAGAATTGGTGAGTTTATTGAAAAACCACTTTAATCCGAAGCCAAGTGAAATAGTTCAGAGGTGGAAATTTAATTCAATTCAATTCAATTCAATTTTATTTGTATAGCGCTTTTAACAATGGACATTGTCACAAAGCAGCTTTACAGAAATAAATGGATTCACAAAAATATATTGTAAATATTTGAATTTATCACTGTGAATTTATCCCTAATGAGCAAGCCAGTGGCAACGGTGGCAAGGAAAAACTCTCCGAGATGATATGAGGAAGAAACCTTGAGAGGAACCAGGCTCAAAAGGGAACCCATCCTCATCTGGGTGCGATTATAAATAATTCTCTTCTATTATTGTGTACTATATGGACAAATAGTGCAATTGTGCAACCAATAAATTCATCACAGTATTTGCAAGAGGTCCGGCTGGTTAAAATCTATCCACTGTCCACTGATGGAGTCCTGAGTACGAAGCTGCTCGTGGCAACTGCAGCCCCAAAGCCACTACAGCAATCGCAGTCCCAAGCCATTACAGTACAGCTCC